TATTGGTGGTTATCTGATTTTTTCATATTCATCAGTGTTCATTTTATGAAGTTGGGTGCACCAGTGTTTGGTGTATATATGTTCATAATTGTTATCTCTCCGTGTTGAATTTATCTCTTAACCAGTATGTGACCCTGTTTGTCTCTTCTGGTCAGCTTTGGCTTGAAATGTACTTTGTCTGAAATTAGGGTAGTTGCTCTTGCTTTTTTCTGGGTTCCTATTGCCTGGAATATTGTTTTCTATCCTTTGATTTTTAATCTGTGGATTTGTTTTTGAATTAAATGTTTCTTATATACTGCTTATTATGGAATTTTGTTTCATGGTCCATTCTACCAATCTATGTCTTTTGGTTGGGGAATTGATACCATTCACATTGAGAGTTATTACTGAAAGGTAATGACTGATTCCTGTCATTGCTTTGTTTGCCTGTTGCTGATTTCCCTTCTCCCTCTCTCTCTCTTTCTCTCTCTCTCTTTCTCTCTCTGTCTCTCTCTTTCTCTCTCTTTCTCTCTCTTTCTCTCTCTCTCTCTCTCTCTCTCTTTCTCTTTCTCTTTCTCTTTCTCTCTCTCTCTCTCTCTCTCTCTCTCTTCTACTTCTCCTCTAGCTGTTTTATACTGCAAGGTGTGTTCGTTCTATTTCATGTATTGGCAGCATTGTTGGCTTGCTTGTCTCTGGGTTTTCCTTGAGAATTTTTTCTAATGCTGGTTTGGTGATCATGAATTTCTTGAGGTGCTCCTTGTCATGGAAATGCTTTATTTCTCCATTAATTTTGAAGGAAAGTTTTACAAGATAAATAAGTTGGGGTTGGAAGTTCCTGCCTTTTAGGGCTCAAAATACTTTATGCCAGAAGTCTGCCATAATTCTAATGGGTGTATCTTTATGTGATTTGTTGCTTTTCTCTAAAGCTTTTAAGATTTTGTCCCTGTGATAGACTTTTGATACTTTGATTATAATGGCATGAGGAGGTTCTTTTCTGGTCATGGCTATCTGGGGTTCTGTATATGTCAGTTATCAGTATGTTTATTTCTCTTGTTTTGTGCTAAGGTTTGTGGACACAGTAAAGGCTTTGTTGTTAGTATAAAGATCTCTTTAGTCACTTTTCATTGATGTACTTTTGGCATAGCTAACTATACTTCTTTGCCTCTTCCCCAAGATCCCAATGCCTTGGTTAATTTGAAAGAGTAGGATTCAATGTAATGACCCAACACTTGAGTTCTCTGGGAATCTAGTGTAGTATTGTTAGTATTATCACAAAAGTAATCTGGGTATTGGTTTACAGAGAAAAGCCATTAATAGCAACAGTTATGCGACCCTGATAATATCAAGCAAATCAGCTACAATAGAATCACCCAAGACAAATTAGGTATTACCACAGCATATGAACCAATTATGTACCAACTTTACCCTAAAGGAGAAATCCACATAAACACTAAGACAACCTAACTATTACTTATAGCTGTTACATTCTAAATGTGACAGACAGCTGTACCAATTAACTATCTAAAGATTAATAAAGCTTTATGGTAATACCACTAAAGATAAAGAGGGTTGGGAACTAGGGAATGCAAGAAGAAAACAAAAATTTAAGAAGAAAACTTTGAAACCTTAAACTATAGGGTATGAAGAGAAGTAGGACAAAAGATTTTATTGATGAGTGGAAGAATCTTTATAGAATTAGGTGAAGTAACAGAAAAAAACTGATGAGAAACATAAGAAAAAAAGGATAAAAAGAAATTATATAGAGAATAAAAATAAGAGAAAAGTTAAAGGAAGAAAAATAAAAAAGATAGAGGGAAAAAAGAAGAAAAACATAGGAAAAAAAGGACAAAACAATTTTTCCCAAAGCCCAATAAACTAATGAAGAAAAAAGGAAAGAAAGACATACACACACTTCTCCATGATTTTTTAATCCATTGATTTCTTTACAGAACCAAAATTTTGTGACAGTGTCCAAGTCAAGCGTGTCCTTCCTTGCTCACAATGAGAGATAAAGCAATGAGACTTCAGATCCATTCTGGATGCAGGAACCTGCAGGAAGTAGGTGTAGGATGAGAGCTCCAATGCAGTCTTTCCAATCCAGAGCAACCCAGTCTAAGCGTAGCCTCTGGCTATGGGAGTGGGGCTCCTGTCTTTTAGTGCAAACTCCCCAGGGGGTCTCTTTCCAGTCTGCTCTCTGGCTGAGGCTGTCTCCCATATCTGTCTCACAACCGGCCACTGGGAGGGCAACACTGGGAACCTTGGAGTAAAGCGGCCCTGTGACCTCTCTGAGTCCAGGTTCAAACACTCCACTCTTTCCTGGAATGATGACTGACCAAGCACTCTCCAGGGATATAGTGGCACTTAGATTAGTGTGAATCTCCAGCTGTTGCCTGTCAAAGGACTCCTAGTGGAGCAGAATCCTGTGCTGTCCCTGCAAATCGAAGCAACCAGAGGTCCATTCCAACATCTCATTTTTCCTGGGCTCCCCTGGAGCCCCAGCATTCACTTTGTCTCTGTAGGTTTGGTTTTCCTTCCCCTGCAAGCTGGAAGCCAGGGAGAAAATAGTGACTGTTTCTTCCTTTCTCTGTACTGTGTTGTCTCTCTTCAATTTCTCTATAGCTTTTAATTTCCTGTCAGATCCTTCTTGGCTCCTAGAAATCTACTACTTTTCTCTTTCTCTCTCTTTTTTTTTAATTCTCTTTTATTTTTCTTCCCCAAGTTGCTATTTTCCAGTGTGTAGATTCCAAATCTTGGAGAGGCTAGCTGTAACCATTTACCAGCCCACTATGTTTTCTGTCCACAACTCCCTTATCTGTTTTCCTGTGTCATTTTCTCTAGGTTAAAAAGCTCATGACACACAATTTTTATTAAGAGAATAAAGAATAGTTTCTTTTTTTAAAGTAAGATATAGATACGGTACCCATATAAACTACCTTCAGCTCTGGGACTTAACTGCCCCGAGGTCTTGAGCATGTAACTTCATGAGTTGGAATCGTTTCATTCTCTACCTGACTCTTTTATTCCCTGCTGCAAGTGGCTTATCATTTGTTTTTATCCTGACCTGCTGCTTCTATGACCCAGAGGGAGAGGTAGTTGTTGGAACATCTCTGTATCATCCCTGGAGTTAGTTGGGGAAAATGTTAGAGAAAAGCTAATCTAGCATTTTTGAGGGGGTCTTCTTTGTTTGTCGTTCTAGCCTAGCTATAAATTTTTACTTTCTTGAGTTGTTTACTTTCTATGAATAAAATGAAGATTTTCCATTATTTGCTGTGCAGAGAATCTCTTTTTAACTGTTTGATCTTGGAAGGGTAGGGAGTGTTCAAATAAAGACATTGAGAACATTTGGTGTTGAAAAAGTACATCTGTAACAGGCAGACAACAGTGATGACCTATTTTCTGGACATCAAATTGGGAAAGCTAAAGCATTACATTGGAGATGTACCTAGACCCAGGCCTGGGTTTTTTGCACACTGAAGTGGTTATTTTAAGCATGTGTGGCTTAAAATGCCTCATTGTGCATTTTTAGAGCTTAATTTGGGATTGGGTAATTTTATCCAATCTTTTTGGGAGTTTCCCTACTCATGCCTCAAGAGGTATTCCATGCTAGTATGCAGTTGCCCTCATCTTGTGATATCTTTCCAGGGTGTTACCCTAACAGACCTTCAAGAAGCTGAAAAGACTTTTAGCCGTTCGAGGGCAGAGCGCCAAGCTCAAGAGCAGCCTAGTGAGAAGCCTGCCAGTACTGCAGGGCTGGAAGGGAACACTGAGAAGCAGGACCCCTCAACAGAACTGGCAAAGGAGGCTGGGCAGAACCAACAACCTTGGGGCAGGAGTCTGGATGAAGAGGTAAGCTTGTTTGGGTGCCATGTAATACACTAAAAATAGCATAGTTTGGTGAATCTGTCCTCGCTGATAATTCAAGTACTGATCTCCCTTGCAGTGCACCACTCTTAAAAAAGCTGTTCATAGCCAGGAGTAATAGCACATACCTGTAATCCCAGCACTCTGGGTGCGTGATGCAGGAGGATCGCAAGTTTGAGTCCAGCCTAGGCAACTTAGTGCCCTAGTGAGACCCTGTCTCAAAATGAAAATTTTGAAACAAAGAGCTGGAGGTTTAGCTCAGTGTGAAGTCCTGGGTGTAATTCCCTGTACCACAAAAAATAAGACACTATTAATGGCTGTCTTTAGTTGGCTATCCTGTATGACTGAAATAACTCAGAGGATGCCAGTCCATAGCCTTTGTCACCCTCTGGGAATTAACTCATGCATTTGAGTAAAAGTCTTTCTTTTCTAAAAAGAGAGGTCATTGGTAATACAATGCAAATAAAAATACAAGTATTTATTGAGTATTTATGCCAGATACTGTTTTAAACATTTCATGTGTATCAATTCATTTAATCCTCAAACAATCCTCTGAGGTAGAGATTACTGTTTTAACTTTATATGTGGAGCTGAGTCACATAGGTTGAATAACTTGCCTAATATTTTATACATCTGAGGAGTAGGTAAGCAAGGATTTAACACTTTTAATGCAGAAAATCTGTCTTAGTCGCTTTCCTCATTGCTGAGACACAATACCTGACACCCACACTTTAAAGGATGAGAAGTTTATTTTGGCTCAGAGTTTTAAAGGTTTCAGTGCATGGTTGGCAGGTGGAAGGGCCTGTGTGGGGAAAGCTGCTCAAGTCATGGCAACCTGGAAGCAGGAAGAGCAAACAGAAGAGCCAGGGAATTACGGTACTTTTATATAATGGAATATTACTCAACTATAAAGAAAGATAAACTCGAGG